TCTATATACAGACAAATCAGATAACACTGAAATCTGTTCTTGGGCACTCTGGGTTTGACAACAAGGCAATGAACTGAATCTGACGTATGAAGCTCAAATGCGTATCAATGTTTTAAACGGTGTTATCTGAGCTTGTTTGTGTTACATGCTTGCCTCTTCATCGGTGTACTGATTTTCAATAGTTGCATAGTTGCACGATATGAAGCTAAGAGAATGATGAGTCTCTTCTTTGTACCTTTGGTTGAATAACATTGAATTCTTTGTTATTCAAATAATTTTGAAAGATATGGCACGGCACCAGTTAGTTTTTTACTACTGAGTAGGATAGCCAACACTGCATAACCTTTTCTTTATAAAAAAGGATGAGCCGCATCCTTGACGGTCCCCACTTGCCCTGCCCTTCCCTGGGCCTTGGTGAAGGAAGTAAATCGCAGATTTTGTCTCCAAGGGTATAGGGCGGAAGACTGCTTGTACACTTACACTTACACAAGGACCAAATCCATATTTCAGGATTCGAACCCTTGACGCGACAGTTTCAAGTAAAGCTGAAGTTTTTCCACCTTCCCCTTTTTTGGACCTGATATGTCATACGAGGACGAACAATCAATATATTACCTGATATAGTGCTGGTGGTTACTTATTATGCTATAGTAGTGTGCAAATTCCCACTTCAGTGCTGTGTTAGTTAAAATTAATTTACTCTTTATTCGAGACAGATTCAGAATCGAATTACAAGCCGGTCTAATACGTAGAAAAAATAAATTTACACATAAAAAATAAATTTACAAGAAAAATACTTTTTTTTTACACTAAAAAAATTTAACGGACCGGGTCCAATTCCTCTGAATCCGTCCCTACTTTTTATAGTCAATCTGTTTTGACCCCCAGAGGAGAGTGACGCAATGAGTGAACAAAGGATGAAGAAATCTTTCTTAGCCTTGGACCTTGAGAGGAGGACAATTCCCAGAAGAGAGTGACGCAATGAATGAACAAAGAAGGATGAAGAAATCTTTCTTATCCTTGGACCTTGAGAGAAGGACAATTTATAATTTACTTTATTACGAGTCATTGACTAGGTAAATTCCATCCTAATGAAAAGCATGCTAGAATTTATATGCATGCCATGACTCTTTCCTTGTAGCGAAGCCTATTACATTTGATTTACATCTCTAATATTAATCGTATTACATTTATTTTATTGTGGGACGAGCACTCATCGCCGCCTCGTCCCTCTCAAGTACTTAAAAAAAATATAATAAGAATGGTGTTCACTAATGATTCTGAATTTCTAGTGTTTCCAAAAGCATCGATACATTTGTTATTTAGGCGCAGTGACGTGTGATGACGTCTACTCCAGTAGCTATTGGTAACGATAGATAGTGAATTAGACGCGGTGATGCGTGGTGTCGTCTAATCGAGTTGCGAATTGCTTTAGCTTAGCGCTGACCAGCTCCTCTTTGTTGTATTGGAAATGTTAATATTCATTATGACTAAAAAATTATGTTGGTTTCTTAATAAAACATAATGCATTTTTTCCTCTTTTTTCAATAAAAAAATGAATATAAATGTAGTACTTAAAATATAGTGTTGATATCAACGGTGAAAGGGGCTAGCTCCTCTTTGGTTTAGCTAAAGAAGAAAAAAAAAGAGATTTTTAGTAGATAATATATGATTGAAAGGATATGAAAGTTGTGAATTCCATAAAATGTATGGTTAAAAAATAGAATAATGTTATTTATCATTATGATGATGAAATATCGACGACGTGCCGATTTATGTAAATAGTGATATTGAGTAATTCAATTTTCATGAGAGAGGAGGAGGAGGAAAGAGAGAAATATCGACGACGTGCCGATTTATGTAAATAATGGGATGGAGTAATTCAGTTTTCATGAGAGAGAGAATTGGAGGAAAGAGAAAAATGTGAGAAATAATAAATTACTACAATATCGATATTTCATCATCACAATGATAAATAACGCTACTCTAAAAAAACAAGTTTAAGAAATATAATTTTTAAAAAATTGGGGCCAAATGTGAGCTTAGTTTTTAGTAAATGACTAGGGAAAATCTGCTTCCTTATAAATACGTAGAAATTATACTATTATTTTAACTTTAATTAATGATCAGTGGTAAATTAAAGACTCGAATTCTTGAGTTAACTGTTTCAATAATCATCCAATTTATACCATGATCACGGTTTACTCACTGAACTTCAAAGTGCTTTACATTGCTCACTGAACTTTGTCTGTATGCATTCCATCTATCACCCTTAAAAATTCGTTACCCCATTCGCTGACATGGCTAACAGAAATCTGATGTGGTAAGTTACGACCGTTAAAAAAATTACAACTCAGCGAAATCATTATTTCATTACTCATCCAACTTATACTGCTCACTGTTAACTCATCGAATTTCAAAATGTTTCACAATGGTCACTCATCTTTGAGATGTTACGGTACTTTATTCATTATCCGTCATATTTTGTTGACTTCATTACTATTTTATTCTACGAAAATTCCATTGGTAAGTAACAATTATCAAAATAACTACAATTTAGCCAAACCATCAACTCAAAAAATTATCATATGTGAAACACCACTTATACACCCCCATAAACTTCTATAAAATCCAATAAAATGTCTCCAATTTCAGCCCTAAAAAACCTAGTGTTAAGTGCATTTTTACACTTAAACAAGCCTTTAAATTAGAGTATTTGTTGGATATTTTAGTGAATTATGGCTTAATTCTATGTATATTGTATTTGTTAGGTAAAGATCGATGAAATTGACGAAATTGGAGACAATGAACGAGAAAAGGGTGAAATCGGGAATCAAAGTTCAAATATTCAATAGTTGATTCGAAATATAAAACGATGATTGAAGATCACACATGATCAATTGGATGCAACTAGAAGTCAAATGGTTGAAATATAAACAAGATATTTTCAAAAATCAATTTTCAACCGAGCAAGTTGTACTTCAGATTTTCAGCCTCAAATTGAAACCTATTATTTGCACGGTAAACGTTTGAATTAGAAAAGTGATATTTCTAAAACAATCATTATGGATGCTTTATTGGATTCTAAAGAAGTTTATGGGGTCGTGAAAGTCACGTTTCCCATATGATGATTTTGGTGAGTTGATAATTTTGTTGAGTTTTAATTTTTTTGACATTTGTAACTTGTCACATTGAATTTTTGTGCGAACATTAGCAACGAAGGAAACAAAATGAGCGACTATTTGGAAGCATTTGGAAGTTCGATGAGTAAACTGTGACCAAATATAAGTTGAATGAGTAAGAAACAATGGTTTGATTGTGTTGTAATTTTTGTAACGACCGTAACTTGCCACGTCAGATTCTCGTTAGCTACATCAGCGAATAAGGTAACGAAATTTTTAGGGTGATGAATGGAGTGCAAACGGACAAAGTTCAATGAGTGCTGTGAAACACTTTGAAGTTTAGTAAGTAAATCGTGACCATGATATAAGTTGAGTGATTATTGAAACAATTAACTCCGAATTCTTTTGTGTCTAAATTAACTACAACAAAATCTTTCAAAAAAATAATATAAAATATTATATACTTTTTTAAAATTTCAAAAAATCATAAATATGTCTTTATTTAATCCTCGTTATTTCTAAAATATATTTTTAGTATTTTTATTTTTAACCACATATTTTTTAATAAAATAAAATAATATTACACATAAATTCAAAATTTTTCTTATTTTTAATTATGGGTTAATTTCACAAATGGTCACTAAAATTACAACAAAATTTCAAAACGGTCACTGAAGTTCAAAAGTTGCAGAAACGGTCATTCAACTTTCAGTCGGTTTCAGAAATGGTCACTGAGGTAAGTATTAGGACTTTTATGTTCTAATTGAAACCTAAATCACCAAAATGAAATTACATGAAAATTTCAAAACGGTCACTGAAGTTTCAAAATTGCAGAAACGATCATTCAACTTTCATTCAGTTTCAGAAATGGTCACTGAAGTTAGTTCTAGGACTTTCATGTTTTAATTGAAACCTAAAGCACCAAAACAAGATCACTTAAACGCTGGAGGACATCTTCAAAATTCATCTACAATCCACTCCTCCAAGCTCCTATGGACGACTCCTCCAAGCCCCACGCCTCTACACCACCATCATCAACTACCTCCTCTACCATACCTCTCTACACTAGTAATTTTTAGAAGATGTATGGAATTCAATCTGCAAAAATTGGGAGGTTCTTGTCTGTTCGCGCGAGAAGGGGCCGAACTTGGATTCAAAAATTGGTGAAATTTCTGAATCAATTGGTGCAATTTACATGTTACCCATGGTCGTATGTGGCTATTTTCTTGTTTCCAGACGTGATTGATCATTTTGGATTCACTCCTTTCTTGGGATGGAAAGATTTCCAGCCTTATGAGTAGCCCAGGTCAGCTCCGACTATTCCTGTTGACTTTTTTGGTCTTTGTCTTGTTATGGTGAAGAAGATAAACGAGACTAGCTCCATTCTGTGTATCATTCATTATTTGGAATTTGGATTTAGTTTACCTGATCCTTGCATAACCTATTGTTGTCTTTGATCATCGCCTTCACTCATAGATGCAGTGAGGCCTTTGGTTGACGGGGAAGTTTCTTTTATTTCCTTCACATATATATCACACACGTATTGTTATGTAATCAGCTAAACCAATTACTTGGCTTACTGATCGAGTAATTAAAATCCTGACATACTGTAATGGAGCTTTTTTGGTTGTAGTATGAAATTAGAGGTCCTGATTTTATTTTCTGTTTGCCAATTTTCTTGCCATGTGGTTTTTTGATCTTTTTGTAGTAAGTTTGATAGGCATTCTTGATCATTGGATCCTAATGTAGGTAATTGAGGTATAATAAATGGGATTGAGCAACTTTCTACAGCTGAGTTGAGCAGTTGAGTTGGGTGAATTTCCTTTCATGGGATTGGTCCTGGTCGACCACAAAGGTCGTGGCTGGTAAAATATGGTAATGGATGTTGTAACTAATCCATCTCTTGGTCCGATAATGGAAATCCTTTCTCAGACTATAGAGGCCATCATTGAGATAGCAATTACTTCTAAGGATGTCCTCATTAAGGAGAAGAGTTTTGCAGAACTCTCATCTTACTTAGAACACATCATTCCTCTCTTACGGGAGTTGAATATGAAGGGCATTAGTGATTCAGAAGGGATGGAAAACTTTGTGGAGATTCTTTACCGTGAGACCAAGTTTGCGAAACAACTGATTGGGGAATGCAAGGAGAGAAACCGATTTTATCTTTTTGTGAATTCCAGGTCAATCGCTAAGCGCATAAAAGACATTACCAGAGAGATTGTGCATGCAATGAGTTGCATTCCTTTGGCTTCTCTAGATATTTCATTGGAGACCAGGGAAGATATTTACAAGCTGGTTAATGACATGCGAAATGCTGAGTTCAAGGCTGCCATTGCAGAAGAAGAAATTTTGGAAAAAATAGAATCAGGAATACAGGAATGGAATGTCGATTGCTCCTATGCCAATAAATTGCTTGTCTCTATTGCAGAGGTTGTTGGAGCTTCAACTGATCGAGGAGCATTGAAAAAGGAGCTTGAAGAATTTAAGAGTGAAATAGAAAATTTACGATTGAGGAAAGACAAGGCTGAAGCCATACAGATGGATCAAATTATTGCTTTGCTAGAAAGGGCAGATGCAGCAACATCTTTTGAGGAAAGAGAAAAGAAGTACTCAATGAAGAGAACATCTTTAGGTAATCAGCCATTAGAACCTCTCCAGTCCTTTTATTGCCCAATCACTAAAGAAGTAATGGTTGATCCTGTGGAAGCTCCTTCGGGACATACATTTGAGAGGAGCGCCATAGAGAAGTGGTTGTTAGAGCATGGTCACTCTTGTCCCATGACCTTGACTCCACTAGATACTTCAACGCTGAGGCCTAACAAAACGCTGAGGCAATCTATAGAAGAATGGAAGGACAGAAACACCATGATCATTGTCGCTTCCTTGAAATCTAGACTATCATTGGAAAACGAAGAGGAGGTGCTTCAATGCCTGGAACAGCTTCAAGATCTTTGTGAACAAAGAGAAATGCACCGAGAATGGATTGTATTGGAGAATTACATACCCTGTCTTACTGAGCTTCTTCGTGCAAAAAATGGAGCTATCAGAAAGCGTGCTCTAGTCATCCTTTGCTTGCTGGCAAAGGATAATAATGATGCCAAGGTACTTCTTTTGTTCTTTACAAATTAAAGAATTGATGCTTCTCCGTGGTCTGAAGTCCTACATAGATAATTTTGATAACTGTTTTTTAGAATCATGATATGGTAAATAACAATCTCTTGATTTGCAGGATTTTGTGGATATATGTATTTCAGCTTGTTTTTATGCTCTATATGAATCTGAGATTGGCCTAAGCGTGTCATACCTCACAAACAAATTTTATGCTGGGAGATAATATTTGGTCATTCGTGAAGTTTTACTGAAATGAATTGTGCAAATAATAAATTTCAACATCTTTTCAATTCATTATTCAGCTTTGGTAGCAACTAAAAGAGCCCAAATATGTATGGGTGAAGACTTTGTTGTGTTCGGTTGAACACTGCTAATAACTGATATTTTATTCAGGTAAGGTTGTTGAACTCGTGGAAGATTAATGTAACATATGCCTAATTAATGTTGGGTTTTACTTCTATTTTTGGTTTACTAGTACATTCATTTTATATTGTAAATAAACTCCATTTTCAGTTTAAGAACTGTATGTGGTCTATGAGTGTTAAGGTAGTTGACATCTTTATTTTATACTTGTACTAAGACGATACATTTTGCAGGAAAGAATTGCTAGAGTTGACAATGCCATGGAATCTATTGGTAAGTCTCTTGGACGTCACATTGGGGAAGGAAAATTAGCTGTGGCATTACTCTTGGAACTCTCAGAAAGTGAATCAGTGCGCAACTGCATTGGCAATGTCCAGGGCTGCATACTTCTTCTGGTAACTATGTTAAGCAGTGCTGACAATCAAGCTGCCAGATACGCAGAAAACATTTTGGATAATCTTTCATTCTCTGATGACAATGTTATCCTCATGGCAAAGAATAATTATTTTAAATATCTCCTGCAGCGTCTTTCTTCAGGTTCAGTCCTTTGACCATTGAAACTTAACAACTGTTCTCCATGCTTTCTGGATCTTACTCTCGACAGGAACATCGGGAATTTGTAGATAGTTTATCACTTTGAAATGCAACAACCTTATTGGAGTTTACCTCGAAACTTGTTGGCAATTTTAAGACTTCAAGAACTTAACAGAATAACAACTTTGATCTGCTAAGAGATCATTTCCAAGAATAGATATTAAGAATAAAATAATTTGTTTAGGTTCATTTTTT